ATCACATACATATATATAAATATTTCTTGTAATTACATGGACACTATCAATTTCATAGTGAATCGAAACATAATACATTGAATTCACCAATTATATAAATCATAAATATTTCAGATATGTCAGGAACATATGTCACTATAATCCAGATAGGAATTTGCTATGCCAGGGCATATAAATCCCAACAAAAGCATCATAGTAAATCCTGGTACGAAAGCAATCACTAATAGCCTCAAAGCTAGCCTGCAATAATTTGTTAATAACATATAGAATTACATAGGTAAAACTATGAAACAGAACTGATATTTGTAAACATCCTCCTCCATCAGTGTTGTTAATACCAAAACTAATACTATAAAAAACCAATAGGTGGAGCTTAATTTACCTCGTCCTCACCAATTGTCACTCATGAGTATATTCAATCTGTTAATAAGATATAAGCCTGACGTTGGAGATAAAGAATTATGGTCAAATTGTCTGTCACCATGAATATGGACGGTCTTTTTATAAATCTGTTCTTGACAATTAATTAATGTAGGTCCTAGTACTGAAAAATAGCTATTTGCGACTATTACAAAAAGGGAATAAACAATATATCAAAAAAGAGTTGTCATCGCGCTATAGATATTCCATACGCATCTACTCTTGTGAGCACAAAAAGCCAATCTGTGTGAGACGAATTATGACTCATTTGATTTATAGAGTAGTAACAATTTTGACAAGTGAGACATGGTTTTGAAGAAGGCGGCATTGTTTGAGTCTCCTTTTGAATTTTTTATTTTATTTAAATAATCAATTATCCATGAATGTTTTACATATTCTTAAGTTAAGTCAATACACAAGACTCCTATTATTGCATTACATAGAAGATTAGATGTAAATGGTCTTGAAGTGTAATAAATAGTATATTTGAAATTTGAAAAAAAGAGAAAGTAGATACGCACATGCATAATAAGAGATAGAGAGAACTGGTTTTGTAGAGTAAAGGATTATCATGAACATAATCATGCAATCAAAATTTTCTGATGAAAATTAGTTGTAGCATCCCCTCTGAAAAAAAAAAAAAAAATCTCCACTAATAATTTTGTGATGTTAATTGAAAAACTTTAGTTCCATTCTCACTACAAAAAATTAAGCATTTCGCCACAAAATATTTTGTCGCCAAAAACTTATTTTTTGCGGTAAAAAATTATTTGTCATGAAAAAAAATTTGTGGCAAGGTCATGGCGAGATCTCTATAATTCAAATTTGATCACAAAAAAAAATAATAATAATAATAAAAAATAAAAAAAAACCCACTAAATTAAACTATATTATGAAAAGAGAAAAAATCTATTGAACCATTCTTTGTCCATTTTTTAATCGGTTTGAGTATTTCACATTTTAAAAATTCAACCAAAAATCAGAAGCTTGAAAGGATTAATAATAGGTATTTCGGGTTATATGATCCATTCACAGTGGCTTGGAGAAGGTCTGGCAGGCGGCTCTGATTTAGACTTTGAAAAATATGAGAATTTGATGTATCATTTAAGTAAATAGCCTTATATATATATATATATATATATATATATATATATATATATATATAATTGGGATAATTCTATAAAAATGGAATTTTGTAGGTCAAAGGTCAAAAAGGTGGAGTCAAACTTTCATTTTCCAAATAAATGGAGTTTTATGAAAAGCTGAGGTGGACATGGAAACTTACTGTGAAAAGACCAAACTACCCTTTCTCTCTCTTCATATCTCTTTGTGATTGCTTGCTCTTTCAGTCAAAGCTTCCTTTGTCCGTTTTTATGAATCTCTTCATACCTAAAAGTTTACGATGAACTGAGTCAAGAGCAACAATGATGGCGATGATGGAGTGTTTTTACCGGCGACAAGCAAGGATTACAAGCAACAATAGGGTTTGTACTATTTGTTAAGTTTGGAGATGATCATATCCCATATAAACAGCTTATCTGTAAATGTTTACTTTTATCAATAAATTACAAACATGAACAGTGCTGTTACTTTCTTCTATCCATTAATTTTCCAACCCCTCACCTTCTTTGCATTTTCAACACCAATGGTGTGTGTTTCTTGGAGATCTAATGAACAAATCAAATTATGACAAATGAATTACACAATTCAATTAAAAATCAACAAAATCAAATCCATATACTGATATATATGGTAGTCCATAAATATAGTTGGTGTGTGTTTCTTGGAGATCTGATGACCAAATCAAATTATGACAAATGAATTACAGAATTCAATTAAAAATCAACAAAATCAAATCCATATACTGATATATATGGCAGTCCATAAATATAGTTAGTACAATAACAGGATATATATTAATAAAAAGGCGAAACAATTAATCGAGAGAGATGGTACTGTGCATTCATCTTCTCCAATCACAAAGAGATATGAAGAGAGAGAAAGGGTAGTTGAGTTATTTCGCAATAAGTTTCCATGTCCACCTCATCATTTCATAAAACTACATTTATTTAGAAAATAGAAGTTTGACTCCATCTTTTTGGCCTTTGACCTACAAAATTCCATTTTTATGGAATTATCCCTATATAATTTGGCCAATGAGAAAGAGCCAAGTATCATTCAACATCTAAATCATGAAATTTAGTTTTGAAGTTGTTATAAAAACAAAAGAGGTGTTTGCTTTAATTGCCAAAAAGACTTCTATGTTGTTAATGCTTTTTTGGGCCTTGTGGATGCTAGTGTAGTAGTGTGGTTGTTGGGCTTTTAAGCCTTGAGGCAGCGTTAGTTTTTCTGTTGTCTTGGGCCAATTTTTTTGAGCCCACCTTTAGTAATTTTTTCTTATTTGGCATTGTTAGATTTTCTGTTATTTTTGGGCCTAATTTTTCTCTTATTATTTGCTTTACCTTTAAAATATTACTAATAGAATTAATGACAAGAGACATGATTTTATTGAATTTAATTATACCAAGATTCACTACACAGAGAACAAGGATCTGAAAGCACCATATATTACATAAAAGCATGGAACCCTAGCAGAACATTATGTAGATTTTTACATACTTATGCTTCATAATTATTTACATAATTACATAATTATGCTTCATATAGCAAGCTAACATCTTCAAGCTTCGTAGAGTTCAAGTTCTTCATTTAAAGGGTGAGCCAACGTCCATTGAAAGAAACTAACACTCCGGTGTCATTCCCTGAAGATGTTAAAGGGTGAGCCAACGTCCATTGAGAAAAATTTACGGTTATCACTGTGAGAGGTTTTGAAATGAAAAACGCGTGTGCACATAATATTTCAAAGGTATGGCCAGAAATTCAACAATGAAGTACAATCATCATCTTTTAAAACTATGCTTTTCCAAACAAATTCAATACAGATTGAATGGTCATAAGATATCCTAAATTTTCATCTTTCATTATAGAATTGGTGAATTGCATCAATCATATCCAATGGTGACCCTCCTAAAGTAACATCATCTATTTTAATATCATTCAAACTCCAATTAAATCATCCTCAATATTTCAATAGACAATATATTTATTGTTTGCTAAGACACTGTAAAGTATCAAGTAAGACTAAAAAAAAAAAAAAAAGATCAGAGTTGAGCAAATCAAAATTGACCACATTGCAAATTGGATGTCTTCCCTTTGGAAGACAAGGACTACAGGAGTCCTTTCCATGCTTGCTGTCTCTTGTATTTGTAGCAACGGCTAGTTAGTTTTGGGGTTGGGCTAGGTTTGCCTTCTGGGCTTGTTTGTTTTTTATTTTGGGCTTTGTCCCCTCCTCTTGTACATTTATATGTAAGAGGCCCGCTGCCAAAACAACTCATAAATACCCATTCATTTTTCTATTCGCATTAGATGTGAGACAATAAGTCACTTGACCTTAATATCTCATTAAACATTCAATTCTCACTATCAACTAGAAAGAGGGGGAAAAAGGACAAAAAAAAAATTAGTCCCCTTGAGCCGTCCAGATTCTGATAAATAACAAAGGTTAAACTAATATTTTTAATAAATCTCTCAATTAAAAAAAAAAAAAAAAAAAAAAAAAAAAAAAAATTCTCCTTTAATAAATAGTCCGTATGTCATTTGGAGTCCTAGCATTAAGAACCCCACACAGGCCTTATGTATTATTCTTCCATCCTTTTCACCACCACATGGACCAAAGTAATCCACTCTAACAGTACTTTCTCACCACAGAATGGGCGAGCTGATATCAATGGCAACTCCACTCATAACAACAGAAACAATGCCAATTTATAACTGCATTCCTGTTAAGTTTCCTTTCCGTTCATGCATCAAAATGACCTTGTGGTTCTTGTTTTGGCTCCTTTAGCATGAAAGGATCAGTCAGAGCAGATTGTGATACAAAAGCAAACCCTAGTAGATACAAAACCTGCGAAAGAAATATATGTATTTTTAATTTTTTGCAAGGAGTTAAAACAACAATAATTATGAAAGAAGGCCTATACTTCAAAACATATTCCTGATACGATTTTGCACGTGGAGAGGTAGAACAAAGTGATGAACCCATGACAAATATAAAAAGAATTAGGTCCACTCCAGAGGAGTTAATTTACCTCCTCCTCGCCAATGGTTACTTCTCGTTCTACAATGTCACTAATGGGTATATTCAATTTGTTAATGAGAGATAAGCCTGAGATTGGAGATAAAGGAGTTATGGTCAAATTGTCTGTCACCATGAACATGGATGGTCCTTTCAGGAATCCCTCGCCAATTGTAGCTACCATTGATTGTAATATCTCTTACAATGCAAACGAATTTCTTGCAAAAAGGGATTCAACAGTTGACCATGACGGATGTAAAGCTTCCTTGATGAGAATGAGCTGTGAACTGTAAGCTATTCCAGGGGCCAGCTTTGGATCAACTAAAGTTGTCTTCATCTCCTCAGATTTTAAATATTTGTCTAATGTCAAAATCTTTTATGCTCTTGTATAAGTTACCCAAGCACCCCTTCAAGGACAAAGATGGTAATTTATTAAGAAAATAACCAAGTGGAAATGTGAGAAAACTGCAGATGAGATCAACAAAATCTTTCTCTGCTTCAGCATACAATGCCTTGTTGTTACATTTGTTGATGATAAGCTTCAAAGCTATCTTTGCTTCTTTTGATCTTGTTGTGTCCACGCCGCTTTGAGATTCAGTTGTGCTTCTTGGACTAAATTCTACACGGCGAATTGCACAACTGGTTTTACTGACAGGTGATTCCAAGACAGTCTCAGAAAAATGTGCCATAGATGTTAAAGAACAATTGATCAACTTCAGAACCTGAGAGAACACCATCCATTTTGTTAACTTGCGTGCAGACTAATAGTAAAGAACAATCGATTAAATTGTTAATTACCTCATCCTTGCCTATGTTTATACACCTCTCTTTTATTGTGCTTCCATCCACAGCTCCAAGCTCTTTAAGCAAGGTTAAGCAAGTCATGGTGGACATGGGCAGCACTTGAAAGTCATCGGTTATCATAAAGCGTGCGGTGGGTTTCACAAAAACCCCTCCACCTCCAGGAAGAGATACAGGATTTTTCAGTTTCACCATATAACCTATGTGGTTTCCACAATGGCAACGGGCAGTTTTGTAAGGGCTCAAAGTGCATCCGCTCCCGCAGACATAGTACTCATTAGAATTACTATCAACAAAATCTAGTTTAAGGTTTCTGCTGTAAATTTCAGCAGCACTCCGAGGACATAGCAGCATCTCCTTGCACTTCTCACTTTGCGGATGTTTATCATCAAGATTCTCAATACTTTCATATAAGTTGTTCAGGCAACCAATCCCCCATTTCAATGCTTGTTCACGGGTGAGTCTAATAATGGTTCCAATTGGCATAGTCATGAAGCTGAAGAGAACACCAACAAAATCATTATCGGATTCGGCAAAAACAACTCGATTCTTCTCTTCATCCACTCGGATTTGCCATTGCTTTGAATCTTTGATGGAAGGGGAAATAAAAAGAAAGAAAAGAATTGGCAACCAAGTAGATATTAGCTTGTACTTTAAGCAAATGCACTCGGCATTAATTAACACATAATATTTTATACCTACCAAAGAAAAACCCTAATATTTTGTACTTTAAGCAAATGTACTCTATATATATATTTTTAATATATGATTGTGGTTTGGTCTTTTCTCAAGTTTATTAGATTAGCCTTTTAATTTAAGATTAAAATGAAATTATCTATATGCATGTTGTTCGAGCCCTAAAACCTCAATCGAAAGACAGTTGATTTGTACTATGGTGTACAGAAGGACAAGAATTTGCTTTAAAACACATTAGAATAATTTCTTTTTAATTTATATATATATATACACACACACACACACACACACAACACACATTTAAATTAAGAACTAGTTCAGTGGAGTATTTGAATCTTGTGTAAGACATCATTGAATATAACGAACAGAAGAAAAAAAAAAAAAAATGGAAAGGAAAAGGAGAACATGCAATTGCAAACCATGGCTGAGATATTTCGGCATAAAATTTGACTAATTTACTGGACAATTTGATAAAACTTTTGGATTCTTAGATATGTTTCATGAACTATATCCATAATAGAATAATTTGAAATAGTTTTTTTTTTTTTTTGGTTAAGTTAATTTGAAATAGTTTTGAGGTCAATAGATAAGTGAAATCAAGGGAATCCAATGAACACAAGATTTCAGTCATGACTGAAACAGCTTCTTTGGCACTAAAATTCTATCAAATTTCAGTACAAATTAACCTAAAATTTATACCATTAGATTCATCTTGTGGGGTTCCAGTTACTGGAATAGGGTCAATTACATATAATCATGTAATTGAAAAAGTGGAGTAAAATATTAGTTATTAACAGAAAAGTAAAGAATCCTGAACAATTGAATGGAGAAAATTTCACCTAATGACATGCAGAAAAGTAAAGAATCCTGAACAATTTATGTATACATGTAAATAAACTGATATCAGCTTTGCCCTTTCAACATAAAGAAAAAAAAAAAAAAAAAAAACAAACCATATAACATTTTGTCCTCAAAACTAGCAATTCCATAATTTTATAATACATGAAGAAGATAGAGTCCGAATCCAATGAACACGAGACAATTTTGATTTGCTCAACTCTGATTTTTTATCTTTATTTTTTTGTTTTAGTCTTGATACATTAGAGTGTCTTACCAAACAATAAATAAATATATTGTTTTTTGACCCCTTGCAAAATTGGATATATTCCCTTTGGAAGACGGGGATTACAAGTAGGGATGGCAATGGGACGGGGTGGGGCGGGGATCTCATTCCCATCCCCACCCCGCCCCACCACATTAGCCCTCGTCCTTGCCCCACCCCGCCCCGCATAACATTTTTTAAATTTCAATTCACCTTCAACAAAATCAACACAACCATAATATTTTTCAACCTAATAATTTAATAAAGTTTCAGCACAATTACAACAATTTAAAACATGATCAGATGTTTGATGCATAACGACTATGTTTTTTATCTATGCTGTGAGGGAATAGATCTGGGGTTTCACTTTCCGAAGTGAATATATTATATATATAGTTATGTAATTTAGTAATATTTTATAACATGTAAGGGCAATTTTGTAAAAATGCACTATAAATAAGGCGGGACGGGGCGGGGTTACCCTTTGTGATACCCCTCAGATCCGAGACACGGGTTGATCAAGTCCGACCCGAGTCCGAGGGATATCAAACAATTAAAGTATTTTAAATCGAACACGGAATACAAAATTGATTTAAGAAATAAAAATTTTAAAGCTGAAAGGAACTAGAAATAAATATCTTCCAAATATAATTATAAAAATCCAAGCTTCAAAACCTCTGTAAGTTTACAACTCGGGAATCCATCTATTGGACCCCTTATAAAATTCTCAAATAGGAGTTTAAATCATAGAAATAAATTCTACAGCTAACATAGAGAAGATTCCTACATAGTCGGAGGAATGAATATCTGTATTTGCTCTGCACGTCCAAGCTCTAACCTTGGAACTGACGAACACCTGAAAAATAAAGGAGTGGGTCAGGCCCACATGCAAGTCCTGATCTACTACAATCCAAACAGTAATCCGATACGCAGATACATCCTAGGAAGACTCAACCATATCTAGAGTAGTCCATATAAGTATATAGTGCACACTAATAGGACGCTCGCTAGTCCAATAGGTTTGTCTCAGCCTGAATAGAAGGCAACATGCAAATACGCACCCTAAGGTGGGCATGAGTACCTAGACCTACCAGGGAACAATACCTATGTCCAGTTATCCATCCCAAGCGATATACGCGCCCTAACCATGGTCCTGAGACTCAAGCTCATACCATGGCACATAAAATAAATATATAAAGTCCGTACTCCTAATACAAAATATCATCCATCTGTATAGTGGTCTGATATATGTAGCACAAATTCATCCTGAAACCATAGTAGGTCATTCACTTTATTTGATTGACATGACACAAGTAGGTGATGGACTTAACATTTATGGTTAATCCATACCTTAATCCAAATTTGGGTAGGACTTAGTGTTTTGAACTAATCCATTCCAATATAGGTAGGTCTTAGTGCTTTGAGTTAAGCCATCCCTAATATGACACCGTCCCATACCGGTTCATACACATCCATTCAAGTAAGACTTAACCTTTTTATGGTTAATCCAACTCATTCCAGATTAGGTAGGATTTAGTGCTTGAACTAATCCATACCTAGTATGTCACCGTCCCATACCGGTACATACAATCCTCCAATAAACATAGTCGATAAAACAGTAATAGATGTAAACCAACTATATTCTAGAATAAGCATTTATTATAACCTATCAAGTTTAGGATCAAATTATGCACACAATATAAAGTTTAGAAATCCTAAACCAATTCCTTTAAGCTGATAAAAATTTACTGAGCATTTAACTCCTCCAAACTATGTAGTTAATTGAACCACACTATATAATCAACATCAATCATCCAAAATATGTATCATTATAATTTGATACATATATATCAATAATAAGCATTCATTATAGAGCCTAAACAAAATCAATATTCCAATAATGTAATCTGCAAAATAAGTATAAGCATTCACATCCTCCAAGTTGTCCGTATCTGCCGTAGTTGAATAACAAGGTGAAAATTAACTTAATTCAACACAAATTCAATTAAATTTAAGTAATTAATGTTACTTATAATCCTATTTATATATGTTTAATCCTAATTAAATCATATACAAACGATCCTCTAAATTCTCTAGTGTAAACAGTTTAATATTCAAGGTGCAACCGGTAAATTCCTTGCCTAACTGTGCATTGTCCAATCCTTAATTAAGTTATGAATTTATGTTTCTCTATTGTTTAACGGATCTACAACACTTGTATCCATCCATTAATTCAATTCAAACCATTTAAAACACCCCACGCAGCTAAACAGTGCACTAAACCAAAACTGAGCGCATCCGGGTGAGAGCACTGCTCAAATTGCCTCAAGAGCCGGCTCTGGACTATTAGAGCCGGCTCCAAAACAGCCAAGAGCCGGCTCCAATCCTTTAGGAGCCGGCTCCAAAGGCTTAGAGGCGGCTCCTAGGTTTTCTGGAGCCTGCTCTTGCTCCTTTGGACACCGTCATCTGTTCTTGCTTCATCTTCTTCGACTCCGGTAACTAACAGAGCCTCTGGAATGTTTTAATCAGTTGTTCTAGGGTCCAATCAAAGTTATAGATTAATCCTAACCCACTGATATGCAACCATGATTTGAACTAGACTCAAGTTTGGAAGCCACAATTACAGAACATTCAAATAGCAACCTTAAGCAACTTACAACAGATTTATTTTGTAAAAATCAAAACTGTTTTAAGATCTTATTCCAGGCTTTAAACTCACTCCTAGATTAGTTCCAAAGCATCCCACATATAATTTACAACCTTAGTTTACAACAACTTGAATCACAACTATAGAAAAACAGATTAACAGAGAAGCAGAAATAGGCAAAACAATTATCTTACGAGTATTTAAACCAGATTCTTATATGCATAAATCCATGATATTATGTTTGTTTACAATTGTTTTAGCCTTTATTAAGTCCCTGAAGTCCTCCTAGGCATGCACAGAACACAGATTAAAGAGATAGAGCAGAACAGAAACTTGCCTCTGATTTCCGATTGAAAATCCAAAACTGTTGTCTCTAGCAACTTCGGCAATGTCAATAGTTGTTATCAACCTCTGCCACTCCTAGTTGAATCCAGAACTCCTCCTTGATTCCCTACCTTACTCTCTTAAAGTTCTCTCTGCATTCCCTCTGTATCCTTATGTACGTGAATATAGTGAATATGGTTTACAGGAAACCCTAGCAGACGTATACTTATGTATTTATAGACTTAAGTTGAAACCCTAATTTAAATCCTAAACCAAACCCTAAATTAAATCCTAAACCAACTATATGTCGACTCCAATCCTAAACACGATGTAAAACATAAAACCCTAATTACCAAAACAGTGCATTTACATAAACACGTAAAGAAACAAACCCAAATACAATTTAAGCAATTAATTAAAGAAAACACAATTTAAAACAATTAATGAAAGAAAAACACATTTAAGTTAATTAAAAATAAAACAAATCAAATGAGCAAATAATTAATTAATTAAAACAAGCAAATAATCAATTAATTAAATAAAAATAATTATATTAAATTACAGAATTGTCCTTTTAAAATTAGGGGTATTACACCCTCCCCCGCCCCCGCCCCATCCCCCGCCGGGGTTTTAAATACAATCTCCATCCCCTCCCCATTTACATAAATGGGTCCCCAAACCCGCCATAAACATGCAGGGCTGGGTGGGGAGGGGACCCGCCGGGTATGGGGATTTTGCCATGACTAATTGCAGGAGTCCTTTCCATGCTGTCTCTTGTGTTTGTAGCAATGGCTAGTTAGTTTTGGGGTTGGGCTAGGTTTGCCTTCTGGGCTTGTTTGTTGTTTTGTTTGGGCTTTGTCCCCTCCTCCTTTTGTACATTTTTATGTTAAGAGGCCCGGTGTTTTGCAATCTAACCTAAAAAGTTTGGTATCAAAACTAACTCATATATACCCAATCACTTCTCTAGATTTGATGTCGGATGAAAAATTAGGTTTAAAGTTCAATACCTCTTGACTTGACAGTTGACAACAAACTATTCTTTGGAGGGGTGTGTGTAGGGCTGTAACTCGGGTGGGTTGGGCGAGTTTGACACTCATCTCGGGCTAGGCTCATATAAAAAATCTTAAAAATAAATTAATTTATGTTGCACCTATGACTTGAACATGAAATCTTTAGCATAAATCCTAAACATGCTTCTAACTTGGATACTACACTCTTGTGTTTTAAGTATAGTTATAAATATATATAATATTTTCAGGCTCGGGTTGGGTTTCGGGCTTCATCCATATCAACCCAAGCCCAAACCGAATTGAATTCGGGCCTAAAATATATAGCCCAGGCCCAAACCGAAATTAAAAACACATTGCCCAAACCTACAAAATTTCGGACTAGGCTCGGATTATTTCAGTTTGGGCCCACCCGAATTGCAATCCTAGGTGTGTGCGACTATACTAGAAAAAGAAAGAAATATATATATACATATAGTCCACTTGAGCCGTCAAGATTAGGATGAAGTCTACGACATGTGTATGAAAGCTCTCTTTGGTAACTCGTACAAAGAGGAAATAACAAAGGTTAAACTAATAATTTTAATAATTAAAAAAATTAAAAAAAAAAAACTCATTCCCCCTTTAATAAATATGTCATTTGGAGTCCTATGTCACACCCCGCAACCAAGAGGCTATACCACGCAGGCGCCACGCAGACGCCCAACAGACAATGACATGGAGCCTGCATGGACTGGAGCTTTCTAGACTGCTTTACACAAGTATGGAACTTTCCAGAATTCTCTAGATTAGTGTAGAGTTGTCTAGCCTTTTCTAGACTTGTCTAGAGTTGTATAGAATTCTCTAGAATTCTCTTGTACATAGTAGATAGTTCTAGAATTGTGTAGATATTTCTGAAGGATTCTAGACACTAAATCTAGGCCACACATTTGTATACATCTAGAATGTTCTTGTAAGGCCAAAGGCCTATAAATAGGAGGTGGGAGTTCATTTGCTCCTTACCAAGCAACCAAGTTGTAATCTCTCCTCTCAAGCAATACAAGTTCTATACATTTCCAAACTCTCTTGCTCACTTGCCTAACCTCTTCCTAGACACCCAAGTAAGCAAAACACTTGTCTAGCCTTAGTCTTCACTAAGCTAGCACACTCGGGTAGGCTGACTTAGCACTTCAAGGGGGCTTGAAAGTGTCTAAGGCCGCACGGTAGCTTGAAAAGGTTCAAGTCCGTGACAGTTGGTATCAGAGCTAAGGTCGTGAGGCGTCACACCTTGTGTAGAGGAAGCTATGGCGGAGCTATCAGACATGACTGGCACCCAAGAGGAGACTCTACGTGGAAGGGAAACAAATCCCCCTCTAGGCGGAGTGAGGACGAGGGCTAGGTCGAAGGACATCATGGCGGGCTTAGAGGCACGTGTGGCAAAGATGGAGGGGTCCATAGCCAACGTGTTGGAGCAGCTTGAGGATGCTCACCAGCGCATGGATGGGCTTGAGTCGGAGGACGTTGAGGTCCAAAATGCTGTCAAAGGGTCACTCAATGCCCTAAGTGGTGACTTTCGGCAGGAGCTTCAAGCACTTCGAGAACTTATGCTGGGGGAGTTTGCCACCCTACGTGGCTATGTTGACCAGGAGCTTGGCACTTTCCGCGAGCAAATGGAGGAAATGCGAGCGGACTGGACATTGTGCAAACGGGCGGTGGCGTCCGGCACAGCTACTACGGGGGTAATAGCACCCCAAGTTGATATTCCTAAGCCTAAGTGCTATGGTGGGAACCGGGTAGCGAGGGAGTTGGAGAACTTCCTCTTCAGCATGGAGCAATACTTTGAGGCTACGGGCATGACCGATGAGACCATCAAGATACGCACGGCGACCCACTACCTCACCGACCATGCCATGCTATGGTGGAGGAAAAAGTATGGTGACATAGCAAAGGAACGGTCTATATTGATACTTGGGCTGATTTCACTAGGGAAATTAAGAAGCATTTCTATCCTGAGAATGCTGAGGATGAAGTTAGGGGCAGACTCCGAAGGCTAAAACAAGTTGGGTCGATTCTGGACTATGTGAAGGAATTCACTAACTTGACTCTTAAGATCTCGGATCTATCCGACAAGGACTCTCTTTTCTTCTTCATAGATGGATTACAGTTGTGGGCTAAGACGGAGTTGAGGCGGCGCAATGTGCAAGACCTTGCCACAGCTATTGCAAAGGCGGAGTCCTTTATTGATTTCAGCCCAAGAAGGAACCCTCATCCAAGCCAAAAGACAAAGACAAGGACAAGGGGAGGTATGCCAGCAAAGGTGGGGGAGACAAGGGCGCTACACCCCACAAGGATTGGTCCCGTAAGCCAGGTGGTGGCCATGGAGGCAAAGAGGGAAGGGAGAACAAGGAAGGAGCACCCAAGCCTAAGGGTTCTTGCTTCATATGTGATGGACCACATTGGGTACGAGATTGCCCAAAGCGGAAGACCCTCAATGCCATGGCGAGCCGCTATGAAGAGCAACAATAAGAGGAAGCGCAAATGGGTTCACTGCAAATCCTTAATGCCATCAAGGCTAAAACTGAAGTCCCTAAGGCGGCGGCTAAAGGGCTAATGTTCGTGGAGGCGAGCATTAATGGGACACTCACACGTGCTTTGGTAAACACGGGTGCATCCCACAACTTTGTGAGCCTTGACGAGGCCAAGAGGTTGGGCCTCAAGTATAGCAAAGAAGGGGGCTCCATAAAGGCAGTTAACTCGGCAGCAAAGGCTATACATGGCATGGCACACGGCGTCCAAGCATGCATTGGCGAGTGGGGTGGCCACATAGATCTATCGGTGGTACCCATGGACGACTTCAAACTAGTCCTTGGGTTGGAGTTCTTAGACAAGGTGAGAGCCTTCCCCATCCCTTTTGCTAACACTATGTGTATTATGGAAGGCAACACAGCATGCATGGTGTCGGTGGAGCGAGGCGCCAAGTTGGAAGCCTAAGCTTTGTCAGCTATGCAGTTCAAGAAGGGCTTCAAGAAGGGAGAGACTAGCTACCTTGCTACGTTACTGGAGACACCCGATGATGAGCTAGTCTCTTCCCCGCAAGAAGAGGTGCCTAAGGAGATACGAGCCGTGCTAGACGAGTACACGGACGTCATGCCTAAGGAGCTGCCCAAGAAGCTTCCACCTAGGAGGGAGGTGGATCATCAGATTGAGTTGGAACTGGGTTCTAAACCCCCTGCTTTGGTGCCCTACTGGATGACTGTAATACCCTGATATTGTAAAAAGGATTTCTTAATTAAATTAATTTATATTATATTATTATTTTTATTTTTAAGTGATTTGTTTTATTTAATTAGATGCTTGATAGTTGTGATTTGTTTTATTTAATTAAGTGCGTAGGTAAATTGTATTGTTTTAATTAAATTATATATTTTGTAATTTTATTTGTTAAATTTATACGGTGTTTGATTTGTGGAATGCTAGTTAGTGAAGTGTTTATTTGATTTGCGTGATTTTGTGTTGGTGTACCTTTATTGTTAATTATTGGTAGCTATTAAATTTAATTTCATTATTTTAGGTATTTAAGTTATTTGTATTGGGATTAAAGGAAGTTGGACCAACGGATGTGGTATTGGGCTTGAAGGAAGCCTTGTTGGGTTAATTGGTAAAGGCCCGTGGTTGTGAGGATATTTAATAATTATCTTTGCATAATTGTACCTATATAATTACATGTGTATATTAATTCATTATTAAATCATGTGGAGGGGTATATATGTCAATATAATTATATATTGATATATATAGGTATATATAATTTATTTAACTAATGGTTATATATGGAAGGTAATATATATATGTTTATAGTAAAATATATGTATGTATATATATTATTTAAAAGATAAATATTATTTATTTTATATGTTAATCCTAATGGGAAAAGGATTTAGTTTTTGTATGTATATAAATAGACACATAAGACTCTAGGGTTAGGAGTTTTTCCACGTTAGAAAAGTAAGAGAATTAGAGAGAGAAGAAGAAGGGCTAACGAAGAGGAGGCCGGATCAAAGAACGTAAGAGGAGACCGGATTTGGAAAAGAAAAGGCGAGTTCTTCTCTACTTCTCCTCTTAGAACTCATAAGCTTATCACCTTAATTATCGAAATTTTAATTTTAACTTATTAAATCAAATTGTTAATCAGTGTAGATCAGCATGTTTATTCTTTACAAAATTAAAAATTTAAGCAGGTGAATATATGTATGAATTGTTCTGAATATTTAAATATTGTATGTGGGGTTAGGTTAATTAAATTTTATTTCTGAAATTTTTTATAGTTTGCTTTAACCTTGTGTGGTATGATGAATTAAATTAAATAGATCTTAATTTAATTATATATGTTTAATTATGCCCAAAATAATAAATAAAGCTTTTGGGATTTTTCTAGGATTTTCTGGAAATTTTCTAGAATTAATTTATATTTTGAATGTTATTTTAGAAATTGTTTTATTATATACTGTTATATATATATAAATATTTGTAGTATAAACAACATACTGGGGTTGGATTTGCAAATCGGTGCATCATCAAAGGCGTAAAATCCAGTGTGTCGCGGTCCATGGTAGTATGGTGAGCCGCAGATCAGCACCATGGATGCTGCTCGATCTAAGGAAGATGAATCCAGTGTGTACGGCATATTATAAGGTTGTGTGAAAACTAATCCAGTGGCTGAGAAGAGTTAATGGAAGGGCGGTTGATTCAGTGCTTCGCGGCACATGATGGGCTGGTACAC